GCTCTCACAGAATACCAACGTAAAATAGCAGCTTAACGCTCTCTTCAATTTAACTTTTCACAGCTAAGCGCTAATACGTTTTCTTCCGTAGCATCTGTCACCACCACTTCTTACTTCATCTATCAAAGTTAGTCAACCGTGTTTTATACCGGCGGTACACGGTTGTCTTAGAGGGGCCTTTATTCATAAATGTAATTTGAACTTTATGAAACGATTAGTCCAGTTTAAGGCGACATATGTTATGGCGACAGATCCGTTTTTTAATGAAACACGATATTTTAAATATTAATCTCAAAAAAATGTACATGAACATTTGCAATTTTATTTGTATATAATTGTATTCTCAAAATAACTTATAACTGGACAGTGTCTCATATAAAAAGTGGCCTGTCGTATTATATTAATTTAATGATGCTGAATTTACTTTAAGTTTTATAGTTACCTAGTTTTTTAGCTATAAAAGAGTTAGACACCTTCATTATCGTCATTGTCTACCTCGATATTACAATGCTGAATACAATAATCATTCTGGTTTCTAAGATACAGTTATTACAACTAGTTTACAAGCCAGGGTTCCATTTAAATTGTTACAGATTTGTGGCAAATAAGGAAATTATTTATTTATTTATTGAAGAAGTATGTAGAGCTGCTGCTATCAATAACATCGGTAAATTCGTGGTGATTTCAGGCAAATCTTCCAACCTATGTAATTCTTGCCAATTATACCTACAAATTATATACGTCTTTCTAAATTTCAATTCTTCAATATTCCTTAACTGTCACTATTACAAAAAAATTTGAGAAATGCCATCTTATAGCCCAAAATATATTTATTTAAATTTTAAACTCAAAAGAGTCAAAACTTAAAGCGGAATAAGAATTTAATTTAAATAAATGTAAATTACATCCCTACAGTTCTCCTATTTCGTATAGGCGTCGTAAATTGGATGCAGTGCTACAGAGGCAAAAGAGTGCTTAACTCAAACTGCGACGCTTTTTAATTGAAGTGCGAATTAAGCACACTGGCAATGTATTCGCAGTTATTTTTAGTTTTGCCCTGTTATCTTAATGGCAAGACACAGTAGAGACAAGATGGATCGGCTTCGTGATGGATTGTCGTAAACTAGTCGTAAAGTATTCAAAACATAAAAAGCCTTTTTACGGTAATGGAACTGCGTTACTGACTAAAAATATATTTAGCACCCATTTTTAAGAAGACTGAGGTGTTTGACATCTTCATGTTATAGATAACCCGGGTTACCTTCAGATTTTAAATATTGGTCCTATTAAAAATTGCAATTAACAATTTCATTGGTGCTGGCGGGGATTGAACCCGGGTTGCTTGCGTATTGTGAAATTTACAGCGAGCACTAACCATCTGAGCTACCACGACTCTTTATGGTATGAATAAGCATAATTCAGCAAAAACAGAACATGCGGTATGTTAAGAGTTTATCGTCAATTTGCTCAGTAACACAATATAAATCTCTAGTAGCTTAGTTATGGTCTACGACGAAGTCAGTGCTACGATTCTATGTAGCTCGCTACGTGACCGGGTTACTTGTGATAGATGATGCTCTAGCTACTACCGCTACGACTCCGAGATTTCCCGCAAATTAAGTAATAAAACTTGAAAATATTTTTGGAAGGGGAATTTATGCATAGAATTAAGAACAGCATGACTTATAAGAGAAAAAGGACTCGAAAATATTTTAATATATTTAATAAAAAGCGAATTGAATTGAAAGAAAATTGACTATTAAATATGTTGATGTTTTAAATAAATATTGTTATCTTTATTAAATAAATTATGTTTATTTGAATATATCTCTCCTCTCTTTCTCTTCAAAACGTAGCTAATTAAAATACAAATAAATATATTATAACAAGAAGCATTTGTAGTAATATTGTTTAAACATTCTTAAAATGAATAGAGCTTTATTATTTAATAATTAAGACAGATGCTCCATAATACATATTTAGTAATGATGTCAATAATAATGATCATCATTCCAGACAAGTCCTCTACTGAACATAAGACTTCTTCATAGAGTGCAAGAAAACACGATCCTGAGCGGCATGCATCCGCCGCCTCCTTGCATATTTCGTTAACCAACTACTCTCCACATAGTCGTGTGGCAGCATAGTAAGAAAATTCAGGCAGAGTAATATAATAGAGGGTATCAGGGGCTTAAATATCTCTGTTCTGTCCTCCCTTCTTGACAATAAATTAATACAAAATGTTTTTTGCTAACCTGTCTGCTAAACGTTGCAAGTATATTAGAGTAGTAGTGTAGTGTAGTACCTAACCGTGTAGTGGCGGTATAAGTAATCCCACTATTACATAACATCCCGTGGGTGGTACGGGGCGTCAGAGGGAAGCTTAACCAGGAGATGAGCATCATCTTCCTGATTACAACTCAATAAAAAAAAATGAGGTTGCCAATCCGCTTGACAAGCGTGGTAATTGTGGCAAACATCTCTCCTATAAAGCAATCTAAGGGGGATGACTATGTTCAGCCGTGGACATTTAATGGACTATATGCTCTGACAGAGGTGCTAAGAATAAACAATCCCTAACCCACTGTGTCCCTGCTGGTTTTGATGGCTGTCATGAAATGGGTGGGACACTCCAAAGGAAATTCGCATGCCACCAATAATAATATACCCGACAAGGTATAAAATACACTCATTGAAGTCGAGGATCCAAGAGCTAGTAAAAAAAAAAAAGAATCAGATAGAGTAATAGTCAAATGGAAATATAAAAGTTCCTTTTCAAACTAAATAGAAATATCTATAATTAAAATACTTAATTATTAACTGTCGATGTAGACATTCCAAAAGGGAACCAAAAGGGTGGATATTGAACGTTTTCGGCTAGCAGAGGCACTGAGTCATAAATAATGCTAATATTACATGTTTTCAGTCCGCCTTCTTTTACTTGGATCGATAGTCGAGGCTGCGTCTCTTTTTCGGAATCCTCCGCCTCTACATATTGATTGTTCAAATGTAGGCCAGTACTCGTTTATTGCTACGTAAATATTCGTTTGTTCAACGAAATGATCGATTATGGGCCATATATCTATAATAAATGAATTGTTGGTTCGTACTAAAATATTAAGAGTTACTTTATGAAGTTCATTTGATAATATTTCACGGTGTTAAATAAGGTTTATAGGTTTGTAACCAAATAAATAGTTTTTGATATATATACATAAATACCTTTAATTATTATATTCAGCAATATAGATATAGATTTCAGTTGCAAGATGTTGATGTTGATTCTACGGTGAATACCGTTTAGCAGTGGACTGTAACGGTAGATATTGGTAGACACTGATATTTTTTATTTTAAATGTTGCGATATCATCAATCATATTTCATTAATAAAACTTCAAATAATCAATTACTCAAAAATTTGCTTGTATTATAAATGTACTCGTGTATAAACACGTATATAAAGGTCAATATTTTTTCCGTCTTTATATTTTGGAATTCTGCTAGGAGTTTATATTAATTTTGTTTGTATATCTCTGTTTAGCCTAATGGTTGACTGGAAGAGAATGCCCTATGGCATCAAGTCCGCCATATGTACAACTTTGTGCATGAAAGCTTAAATTAAAAAAAATCATAAGTACAGACATGGTTTGAATGCAGTATGACGTACATGTTGGTTTTGTTACTTTAAATGGCACTAGCAAAGCTATTTTAAGAATTATAAAATAAAAAATAAAACAAAATTTATTTTACCTATCTAAGATTCAAACAACAAAAATTCTTCTCCACTACCCCATCTAAGGCATATTTCTGAGAACAACTAAAAATAATAAAAAATGCGATTGCTATCTTGCCTGCCAACGTGACAACTGTGGCACATACTCCTCTATGAAGCGAACTATAGAAGAGACCTATGTTCAGCTATGGACTATGATATACTATTATAATGCTTTCGATAGAGAACGGTATACCATCTCGAGTACAGGCGGTGTAATACTATGCATTTTTTATAAGATAGGGTGACAAACGAGCACACAGTCCAGCTGATGGTAAATAGTTGCTGTGGCCCATAGACATCTACATCTATCCTTGATTGCGAATTAAAATGCGTTGTCACCCGTGAGGACTAAGATGGAATGCCTCTTTTCCAGTAAAAAGGGGTCTCCGGTTCCCTACACTCACCATACGAAACACAGCAGAGTTAAGCTGCTATTTGACGCCTGTATTCTGTGAGAGTGTGGTCCTTCCCCGCTCGAGCTGACCCATTCGTGCTACAACTATACTACTAATATAGCTGCAGCATGGCTTTACCACATATAACCATATGCATTACCCCATATTGTCCTGAGGGTGACGTAAGAGGCGACAGAGGGAAAATAAAACAGGAAATGGGCAGCTGCATCTTTCTGATAACAGCTCAAAGTATTAAAAAACTACGGTTGCTAAACAGCTTGCCATGCGTGGCAACCAAGGCAAAATCCCCCATGAGGCAATCTATGTGACAAGCCTATGTTCAGCGGTGGACATTTATTGGCTGTAATGGATGGATGGATACCATCTCGTTTATGGCAGACGTAAATACACAAACCGGCGACGGATAACAGTAAAGATGAAAAATGTCTGGTACTGTAATCATCAAACCATCTCACTACACTGGGGCGGGCTGATGAAAAAGCATAAGGACAACAATTTCCAACATTACTTTCATCTTCGAATTCGATTTTCTTTCAAAGAGTCAGTAGCCTAATGGCAGGGAGTGCACCGCGAACTCGAAAGGTCGTGGGTTTGAATCTGCCATTCGACTACTGTCGTGAACCACTTCTAACACAATCATTTTAAGCTTACCAGAAGTGGTTCAAGTGAATATTAGTAATGTTTAATAGCATTACAAGTATTTTAAAAAAAATCTGATCAAATTAGTTTGCCTAACTAAGCGGAATATATAAATGACCTATAATCATTATTTCGTGAGCCTTTTAATTTTCATTATAATGTTGTTTCAGCCACCGAGCTAGATCTGTTGGGCGCGCTGTCGCTTCACAACACGTCGCGCACCGGCGTGAGCGTCGCGCCGGGCATGCAGCCGCAGCGCACCGCCTACACCCTTGAAGGTAAACCTTACAAAATCTAATTTATTATACTACTTTATACGTGATAGAGCCACACAGCAGTTATATTATGGTTGTAGCAGGAATAGGTCCGTTCGACCGGGGTAGAACTACGCTCTCACAGAATACTAGCGTAAAATAGCAGCTAAATGCAAAAGTTTCTACATTAAATAAAAATTCACCCCAACTAAAACTCATCAAACAGAAAAATTATTACAGTTCCTATAGCATTAAAGTTTCGACTGAACCAAAGGAAGTATGAGGCGGCAAGTTATCGTCGATAATGGATCGCAACATCGCCGGTCGGCTGCACGCTTGTAATCCATTTCAGTTGCAATTCCGCTTAGAGCTTGATATAATGGCCGGCGCCAAGGTGTGCCTCTTTACATTTTAATGTTCCATCTAATCAGACGTGTGCAAACCCGATATCATGCTACGAACATTTTACTGCCGCTATTAATAAGTAGTTTTTTTTTTCACAACAAAGGTGGCTCAGTGTAGACTATTTTTAAAAACGTGCAATATCTCTCGGTATAGTTATACGGCTACATATTTAAAAGCTGCTTAGTTATTGGTTAAAAATGTACTATCCTCATTCTAACATCGCATATTCGAACATACCCTTTTCTAAAATCTAATGGTGGGTGTCCACGTACAAGATTGTTCGACGTTTTTACTTTAATTCGAGCAAGTTTAAACGTGTGGATCAGAAAAAGGATTACGACACAAATAGCACAAGATGACAAAATATTTCACCGATGTTCGAAACGAACATGCTGCCTTTCGTCGCAACTACATCCAGCAGACTAGCAAATCTTTTTTTTTATAGGATAGGGTGACAAACGAGCACACAGTCCACCTGATGGTAAGTGGTTACTGTGACCCATAGACATCTACATCTATTTTCAATAATGAATCAAAATGCACATGCGTTGTCACCCGTGAGGACTAAGATGGAATGCCTCTTTGCCAGTAAAAAGGGTCTCCGGTTCTCTACACTCACCATACGAATCACAGCAGCGTTAAGCTGCTATTTTACGCTGGTTTTCTGTGAGAGCGTGGTCCTTCCCCGGTCGAGCCGAACCGTTCGTGCTACAACTATACTACTAATATAGCTGCAGCATGGCTCTACCACGTAAAAAAATAATTTATTTTATCTCGGTGTAGTGAAGACTAGCGCACATGTATTTTAAAGTAAAAGTTACTTTACTTTCAATAAGTCATTCATTTGACTCGGTACTTCGTGATACAAATGAGCTAAATCATAAAGCTTGTATGAATGAACGGTCGATGAAACTTGCCCATTAACTTGCCATAACATAACCCTCGCGTTTGTTTTGTGCATTTGTGACCACATCATCAGATATTTTGCACCGTAAGTATTTGTACCTTAGTATCATCACTATTTGTTTATTTGCTGTCTATACAGTTCAATTTATTTATAAACCCATTTTATTAGTTTGCGAATTTGTAAACCCTTTATAAAGAAGTTAGAATATAGAAGCAGAGTAAAAAAGAGTACGGAAGCTTCATGCAATCGTTCACCTGCAGTAGCAGACAGCGAAAATTATGCGATATTTAGTATGGTAGAAGTGGAAGCGACAGCGCCCGAAAGCTTTTAAACTCGACTTGCGAAACCGAATGTAGTTTGAATGCATAGCTCGCCTACTGTCATGAATAATCTTCCAGCACAACTATGTTAAGTTGAAATGATATATGGAAATGAACAATAATGATGGACGATTGTTATTAAAAAGAGAAGTAGTTAGTATTTATTATTGTTAGTATACTATTTATTTTGATATATATCCATGACTTTTCTTCAAAGGAGTTATAGTTAGTTTTTTACGTGGTAGCCACGCTGCAACTGTATTATGGTTTTAGCAGGAATGGGTCGGCTCAATTGAGGTAGGACAACGCTCTCACAGAATATCATTGTAAACTAATAGCTTAATGCTGCTGTGTCTATGGTGAGTGTAGAGGAACCGGAGGCCATTTTTACTGGAAACGAGGCATTCCAGTCCGGTCCAGTTAGGGGTGATAATACATCTGCATTTTGATTCCGAATTGAAGATAAAGGTAAATGTCTATGAGCCACAACATCCATCTATCATGGCAAAGTTGCCATTCTATAAAAAAAATGAGAAATCTGTTAAATATTATTAAAAATGTAGTACTTATTATATATATAGTGGAAAGAACATGGCAGAACCTTAGGGATGGAATGGTAAGTGCAGCGGAAGAAGTGTGTGGAACGATAAAAAGAGGTAGTAGTAAAAGAAGAGATGCATGGTGGAATGATGAAGTGAAAGAAGCTGTAAAGAAGAAGAAGATGGTTAGACTACTTGGCCTCTAGTAATAATAAGGATATGAGAGAGAAGATGAAAGAAAGATATAAGCTGCAGAAAGTTCACACGAATCGCATTGTTTGAGGAAGTGCGTGAAAGGTGTAGAATGGAAGCGGACGAAAGGTTGTCGCACAACTTTAAGGAGAACTCCAAACTCTTCTGGAAAGTGGTTGAAAGGACCCGAAGTGGTGCGACGGCCTTAAGAATGAACAAAGTGCTTTCGAGAACCAATGACGTCCTCTCAGAAAAATCGGACGTTATGCAGCGATGGAGCGAATTTTATAGAGAAATGTATGCGTGTGATGATCTTAGTGAGGGATCCGGGGGTGACGCCGTGACTCGTACGCCAGACCCGGACCTCGATGACACTGAGGTCATCAGTATGAAAGAAATTGAACGTGCGATTCGAAGTTTGAAATGTGGTACGGCTGCGGGACTAGACAGAGTTACTGCTGAAATAGTCAAGTATGGTGGGCCTCGCGTCTGGGACAGCTTTCATCTGCTGAGCAATTTGTGCTGGCGGACGGGGGATGTCCCGGATGATTGGCGATCCGCAGTCATTGTGCCTTTATATAATGGTAAAGGTTCACATTTTGACTGCGGGTGCTATCGGGCGATCAGCTTGACCAGTTTAGCAAGTAAAGTTTACTCGAAAGTTTTGACACGTAGGATGCAAGAGAAATCGGAAAGATTTCTATGGGAGGCACAATGCGGATTTAGACCTGGAAGATGATGCACGGATCAAATGTTTTCTCTCCGCATGATCACGGAAAAGCTTCTGGCTGCTAACCAGAAGATTTTCTGTGCTTTTGTGGATCTTGAGAAAGCATTTGATAAGGTTGTAAGGAAGAAAATGTGGGAACTGTTGCCGGGGTATGGTGTGGATGTGTAGTCACTTTACTGTGACTGTAAAGCCTGTGTGCGGGTAGGGCATGACCTGTCACCCATGTTTAGCGTCCAAACGGGCGTAAAACAGGGTTGTGTCATGTCTTCCTGGCTATTCATACTGTATCTCGACAGCTGTTTACAGAAGCTGAAAGATAGCTATTTGGGTGTGAAATTGGGTGACATCAAAGTAAATTGTCTGCTGTATGCTGATGATGCAGTGCTTATTGCACCATCAGAGGCAGAACTGCAGGCATTAGTAACGTGTATGAAAGAGGAATATGAAATGAAAGGTCTCCGTTTGAATGCTAGTAAAACTAAGGTTCTGGTATTTGAAAGGGCCGAAGAGAGAACGAAGTGTGAAATATTGGTAAATCAGGAATGTCTAGAACAGGTAAATGAAATTGTATACTTGGGGAGTGCTTTCAGCCGGGATGGAAGATATGATTTAGATGTGGACAGGCGTGTCGCTGCCGGGAACAAAGTCAATGGTGCCCTAACTGCGTTAGTCAAAAGGCAAGGCGTAGTGAAGAGTGCACGCCTTGCAATACATAACGCAGTGTTGGTACCGACTTTGTTATATGGCAGCGAAACCTGGGTATGCCAGAAGAAGCATAAAAGCAAGTTGAATGCAGTGGAGATGCGATCTCTTCGTAAAATGTGTGGCGTTACCATGGCCGACCGAAAGCGAAACGAAGAGATTCGCAATATGGCAGGTTTGAAAGATGACCTTATCACAAAAATTGATAAGGGCGTGCTTCGATGGTTTGCGCACGTTGAGCGAATGAGTGAAGACCGAATGGTGAAGAAAATATATAGCGCGAAAGTTAGTATTAAAAGGTGTCGAGGTAGACCGAGACTAACTTTCGAAGACCATGTGAGCAAATTGCTGCTCGAAGAGGGGAGGGTCAAGAGTACTCAGATACCTAGACGTGCATGTATGAAGAAGATAATGAATCTGAAAGAAGCGAAAGAGGTATGTAAGGATCGTGACACTTGGCGATCTGTTCTCTCTGGCTACCCCGTCAGGGATTGTGCGTGAAGATAAGTCAGTAAGTAAGTAGTACTTATTAGTACCCGGGTTCGAATTCCGGGTCGGGCCATAATAATATTAGTTCTTCAGTTTTTCCATCAAGAAATTCTCAGTATCTGCCCGGAATTAAGAAGTTGGCGGTGTCTCACCCCGAGTCTCGGAAAGCATGTTATGCCAATGGCCTTGCGCCTGATCTCTTTCCGGTCGTCTTTACATCGTGTACCGTCCAAACGGACTATGAGTGTGAGGAAATAGAGAGTACACCTTTGCTTGCGCAATCACATGGGCACTATAATTCTTTCCTGCGCCGATGGCTAGTCTCCGTTGAGGTTGGCCATCGTGACCCAAATTCGGTCGGGAGAGGCATTACTATTACTTATTAGTTCACTATAATTAACAAACTGTAGCTGTGCTTGCGCCAATGATCATATAAATCTTACATATAAATCTCGATCAGGATCAACTGTCAGTAGTTTATTTTTATAACGTTACACTATAACTTCCCGTATGTATTGAATTGTTTTCGAGATACAAATATTTTGTTAAGAATACATTGATTGTACTTCCGTAGGGTGTAGACGAGGGTTCTAGTTCTTTGTCCCATCCCCTTGATTTTTTAACAACTGCAATATGTACCAGATTGGCGATGAATCACTTGTGGTCGATGACAATAATCACTGCAAGGTTCATTACGCAGGGTAGCTCAGAAAAATTAAATATCACACTTCCCTTTAACC